AGCTAAAATGCCCAAAGACCTTTTGACACACAGTTGTTCATGTTCTACATGGCTCCATGGCAATCTCCAGGTACTGCCCCAGATAGATAAATCAAAATATTGGACTGTCTATGCACTACATGTGCCCCTTCAACACAAGCCAGACCCAATATTAGCTGCGAACCCATAGTCCTCAAATCTAAAGCACATAAACCTAGGTAGGGTAAAAATCCCAATGCCCAGCTTGATGTAATGGCAGGCATTTGGACTCATACCCTAACCTAGCCTTGTAGGTGTTTTTAGATAATTGCTGATAGCATAACAAACATTGATAAGTCCAGTATTTCAGTATGTTTGGACATAGGTGTATGAACAGGGGGTCCGGGGGGCATGGCCCCCACTTTTCAGCCATTTTTAAAAAGCAAAATCTTTATTTTTTATTTAAATACAAAACTTACAGCAGGAAAATGGAAATGGTTCAGCAAGGTGAGATGAGCACAAAACTGCAAAGCATTTCTTCATAGGGGTATTCGGGCTCCCAAACAGTGACGTTGAAGTTTTGCCTCCACCCCCCCCCCCCCAACACACACACACTTTTCATGAGGTTCCTACACCCATGTGTTAGGAAGAAGACTTTTATCCCAGTTGGACAATGGACAGGTTAAAAGTGAAATTCGCAATTTAGACATTTATTTCCATATCAAGGATCCAAGCTCAAATTTTGCTCATACCAATACATAAAATTTCTTTTGTGCTTTTTGGGCCTGTCTTGGACTGATTGTGACTACATGTAGATTCTCACTGATACATTTAGCAAGGTGAAGCACTGGGATAGCATGGTCGGATTCTTACCTTCTGTGACTCGCCAGTCCCATCTCAAGTCACAGTGTCTGAGTCTTCACAAAGCGTACGCTTCATGGCCGCGATAACGACTCACAATGACATACGCATGATAAACACGGGGTAAGACAAGGGATCGAAGGTCTCTCGTGGGCCTTGGTAACAACTGGATTTCCATTACGTCATGGGTGATGATGTCACACCACGGGTGACGTTTCACTGCTGCTGCTGCTGTCCACGGAGGGCAGCGTTTGTGAGTGGAAAACAGTAGCAACATTGTAAATGAAGGCAGTATTGGCGCTTATGCTACATATGAAATTTATAACAACATATTGATATTGGTGAATGTTTATTTTTGTTACTTTTCATAAACCCTCCATTTCAGAGGGTCTGCATGCAAAATTTCTGTTATTTTTTAGAGTCAAGCTATTGTACTAAGGGATTTATTTTGGCAATTTAGTCATTTGTTAGGTTATAAGGCTGCAGAAACTTTTAGTTGAGGTTGGTATCCATTATCCAGTTGCAGCTATAATCGTGTCATATTTTGTATCATTTTCTGAACATGTAAACACCTACCTATATGAATTCAAATTTTGTGATTGTAGAAAAGCAGTTACCCTCACATTGCAGCGGGGATTAGAACAATTAACCACACTTGTTATACAAAAAGCCTGTTTGCCATCAATTTTGGGAATCCAAATTGGGTATTGGTAAGGTAGATGTAGCACAAGCTGCCCGATGCACGAGAATGGGTCTTTCTAACCAAACCTTACCTAACCTGACCTACAACCTACAGCCTTAAACCTAAAATTTACAACCTACGACCTAGTCCTACGGTATGGCATATCACAACAGCTTGTGCTACGTCTGCTAGTGCTACCATGACCCAACTTTGTGCCAATTCATACCAACTTGGGATGACAGTCACTGCAGATGACAGATGTGTGCTGACCATGCAGGTCTTTGTTACAATTGCAATTCTATTGTGTTACAGGTTCGGCGTTCTACAGCTGCGACCCGCCATGGCTGGGCCACCGCAGCGGCATCACCTTCAGGGTGGACCTGCCCGTGGCCACCCGCCGGTCGGACCCGCCTGCAGTCCGCAGGGAAGCTGCCCTGCGAGCCATTGCAGAGCTCCCGCACCCGGACGTCACTATCTGGTCGGACGGCTCGGCTCGCGGCGGACGGAACAGGGCGGCGCAGGCGCTGATCCAGTTCCACCACCTCAACAGAGAAGAGACCGTGCGCGCTCCTGCAGGGGCGGTCTGCTCCAGCCTAAGAGCAGAACTGACCGCCATGCGCGAGGCGTTCGCGGCTGTGGCCGGCCTGGAGGACGGGGAGTTGGCATCGACCAAGTCGGTCCGCCTCCTCACCGACTCAAGGTCTGGGCTCCAACTACTTGGCCGCGGCCCAGCTAACCAGACCATGGCCCTGGCCGCCGAGGTGTGGAGGCTGCTGAGTGCTGAGCACCCTCACCGAGAACGGCACCGAGACGGTGCTCCAGTGGGTGCCAGGCCATGCCGGGCTGGACGGCAACGAAACCGCCGACCTCCTGGCTGGCGAGGCCACGGCGGGCGACCAAGACAGCGCACCGATCGACCTGTCGAGTGCGCGGGCCGCCGTCACGCGCCATGTCCGGGAGCTGTCGCGACAGAGGGCAACCGCTGCCCACCCGCACCCGGACCCCACGCCTGGCCACGACTCCCTGGCGCGCTGGGGTCGGTGACGCTGTCCCAGCTGAGGACCGGCACATCACCGCTGACCCGTGACACGCTCCACAAGATTGGCCCGGAAGCCGACGACGAATGCCCCGCGTGCGGGGAGCCCGACCGCGCGGCGCACCTACTGACCGATTGTCCGGCCTATGAGGCGGCCCGCCGCCGCCGCTGGGGTGTCGACCCTCGCCTGGTCGACGTCCTCGGCGGCCCGGCGACGAAGGTCGTCACCTTCATCGAGGATGTTGGGCGGACCGAGCCGCCGCTCGACCCGCCTGCGCCGCCGCCCCCCTGAGCGGGTTGGCAATGGGATGCAGAAGAAGAAGAAGAAGCAACTGCCAGCGCGCCACGGCGGCGAAGCCGAGTTCCGCCGCTGGACCGCCCGCGCAATGGCCAGCACAGACAAGAGACAACCGAATCACAACACCTACAATTACGTTATTATGGTATTGACATTGTTACAATTAACCCTGCTCTTTCGAGCGTGGATGCACGCTGAAATTGTCGCATAATTCCATGCAGCTTCCACCCTTCTGCAATACAAAGTTTGAATACAAAGTAGTCTTACAATAGGTTTAGAACTTATGTGCAGATTGTCGATGCTGGTTGACTTGATGATTGGAATTGTGTTTATCTGTTTATCTGTTTTGACTTAAATATATGGCCATGTACTATGGCCTACCTTGGGAAGTGTCTCTGATTTCAACAAAACATTTTTCATCAGGATACGCTGCAGGGTACATAGTACATACGTAGTGAAAATTTTGAGCATGTATGGGTGCGCATGTGGAGATGTAGACTGCGAATGAGACGGACTACGACGGTTTTTGAACCAATTAAATCTGATTGACAACATAATGTAGGATTAAAAACTGACTGTCAGAAGAATATTCACAGAATATTCACTTCACCCAGTACAACGAAAAGGGAAAGTCAGGAAACAGGCAGGGTACATCTCGAAGATCAATCAAATTGCAGGTGCCGATTGGTTATGGATCATTGTAGCTCAATGTACTGCCTTGTGCTGCTTTATTGATTGAAATTGCTTCCAGCTTGTATTGAAAGAAGTCATTATGGAAGAATTAAAAAGGTTCTTGAAAAATTTAAATACTTTGAATTGATATTTATGCAGAATTATACACCCGTATCATTCTTTACATGTCAATATTTGTATATTATCTAGCATATAAGAAAATAGTGGCCTCAAGTTTCTAGAAAATATCTGATTTTACTCTCAGAGCCACTGCAGATCCCTAAAAAGTTAGGAGCCGTCTTCATTATTGAATGTATAAACCCAAATAAATTATCACTGCTCAAAAGTGGAAGAAATGACAAATGAAATAAAGTTTTCCTACAGCGTTGCAATCCAGATTTCAAGATAGTGATGGGCGCACTAGAAAGCAAGTAAAAGTACTCCACAAGGCAAAAGTAAGGAACAAGAATATCCTTATACTGTTTCAGAATTCGGTAACAAACATTTTTTGTGTGTTTTAAATACCCGAACAAATCGATTCCAGAATCAGTCTTGATAATATTATATGGTTTTTGTATGGTGTTGGTGGTACTTGAATGACCAAAGTCAGTACATGTCCATCACCTTTCGATATTTCCGTGGTGCTCGTTCCCATTTCATAGCTGCTCACGGTGTTTTCTGCTGACGTCATATGGTGCTGCTCCACTAGCGCCACCATACGGCGTCAGCTGGCGAATTATCCAGTTAATACCAGAGCCCTCTCTCGTGAGCTGATGCCAGCATCCAAACAAAGCAGGCACAAAACTACACAAAACCACAAACAAAAGGCGAATACCACACGAAGCTCCGCGCCTGTGTGCCCGCATAGAAATCCAACGGATTCAAACATGTCCTGCTGCCAGATTAGAATTGCGCCAAGGGCCAAGTTTCCAAATTCCAACTTCCGCCGAGAATCTTGGCGTGTCTCATAATGTCTCCCGGGAGACGCGAGACACCGTTGATTGGTCCATAGGCCCTGCTCGTCCGGCGGTTCTGCCGAAGGCCAAGAAAGCCGGAACGGCCAAAGACAGGCTGAAAACGATGTTGTGCCAAAAAAAAGACAAAGCGTCATGAGCCAGCCCGGCCAGCCCTACCTCAGGTATGGTATTACTTACTCAACACTATTTTACACTAGTTATAACCTTTTCTTTGAAGTAATTACAAACTCATGGTTTATTACATGGGTGAGATGAAAGCGACGGTACGACGAGTAGATTTGTGTCTCTCGTCGGGATCCTTTACCCCCTTTCTGTGTCACCTGAAACCTCGGCAGAACGGCAATCTTTTTGAGCTCTGCTTCCAGCACCCAATTAGAAAAGGTGTCTACCCGCGATCTACGTCGGGTATATACTGCTGTAGCCGTAAACATTCTGTCGGATCTTCTTACATATATTTACAGAATATAATACAGTTACAATACGAGGTCAAAACCTTGACAACGTAAGAGGACGATTCTAGTGCAGACCAATGAGGGGCTTGGCGACCACAGCCTTGCTAATGACGGGCTTGGCGACCAGGGCCTTGCCAACGATGGGCCTCAGGGCGTGACCTCCGTACACGGGCTGAGCGATACCCTTGGGCACCTGCGGGTGGGCCGCCAGGCCGGCGTAGCTGACCTCGGCGTTGAAGCCGTTGTACCCGTCCACGACGTACTTGACGTGCTGGGTGCGGCCGTCGGGCAGGTTGACGGTGTAGTAGCCCTCGGTGAGTCCGTTTCCGTTGGACTCCTCAGCCTGCGCCATCATGGGGCCGTAGTCGGGGTCGTCGACGGCGTACTGGAAGTGGTACGGCCGCGGCTCGATGTAGTCCTGCGCGACGATGCCGACTTTGCCGTGGGCGAGGGGCGCTCCGGCGGTGGCGACGGCCACCAGGGCGGCTAGCACGAGGAGCTGCATGGTTGGAGCTGGATGGGAGCGGCTGCTGGGTGTCTGATGTCGGCCGAGGGGGCTGGCCGGTCTTATATACCTGCCCCACCCCCACCATGAGCCAGGTCATTGGTGAGCCTGGGCGGCACCCCTTGACCCCCGGCTGGCCGTCAAGACATGTTCTTGCTGCTGTTTATGGCGCGGGCGGGCGGCGGCCGGCCGAGGCTGGTCAGACTGGGAGACAGCGCCCGCCCCGCTGCCCCAAACGCATGGCGGGCAACGGCTCAATGCCCAGGCTCTTCCGTTCTTCAGTGTAACATTATCGAGCCAGACTATATGTACGGTGTGTACACGGTGTTATACGTATGTAGTCAGAGATGCGAGAGCTCTTTCGGTTTCGAGCTTCGGAGTACTCAGCCTCGAGCGTAATTAATAGGTAACCCTTAAATTTTGTTGAGCATTATTTCTGCGCTTAATTTTCGAAACCAATCACATTTGAGGGCAATGGAAGGAGACGAGCTATGGATAAGGGGCCATGCCACCCGAATCCCGATTTACATTTGAGCCCTCGCCGTGCGGTAAGGTTTACTTGGATAGCGGTAATCAGCCTGAGCTTGTCTCGAGCAATACCTTATCAATAGGCTCATTTAGCACAATCAGGGCCAACTGCGCCGCGAAAGTTTCCGATCCCCCCCCCTCCCCCTCCTCATTTGTTTAGGCCAAAGGCCGTGGCCTATAGATGGATACGTAAGCCGCTGCAAAAACGCCAATACAAATACGGGCGTAGGCCGAGGGTTCATGGGAGCGCCTTAGCGTGCAACGGCTTACGGCTTAGCCACAGTTTCATTGGGGGGGGGGGGGCGACGGGGGTCCTACTCAAAAATGCACACAGCTCCACTAAGGAAACGAAATTACGCGGGGCGGCTCCGGAAAACCAAAGATCCAGTGGTGGTGCCCCTGTCGGCGTATCGTGGACTGGTGGAAAGTAACCAAAATTTGATTAGGTATGGGGCCCTATACACATAACCATGAGTTGAGGTGCTAAGCCATCACCGTCATCGTGCCTCGTGCGCCGGGTCTTATGCGACCCGGCGCACGAGGCACGAGCTCTTATAAGAGCTCCCCCTCCAGAAAAAAGGTGACACAAAAACGTCGATTTAATTAGTTTTCCTCTCTGCAGACTGAGCCGTTGTGGTCAAATCTCAGCCAGTATCAGCTTTCAACTAGAGCCATTGAATGCAGCTTTGGTCCTTTCCTCGATGCATGTAGCTCTATTCAATCGCTTCCGAATTATGTGCCGGTTGGTAATCGCCATAAAAAGTTGACATGATCAGAATGAGACATTTTATGACCTCTGGTGACCTGAACTTCGATCTGACCTAAAAAACGAATGCAATCATATCTTCATAACGTTTTTAAAGGTAGTGTGCCACCTTTGAAAGATTTCCCATTTTATTTTTCCTAGGATAAGAAGCTTCTGTTTTTACCTAATATCGCAAAAAAAATCAAAAATGGGCCTGGAATAGTGCCTTTTTCGCCTAAAAGTTTTTCGGTTTTTAGATATGTATAACAACTGTAGTGGGCTCACCTGCAAACAGGCGTCGGGCAACAATCGCGAATGCGGCGCACTTGTGACAATAAGCAAAGGTCATTATAGTGTTACGACCATACGACGTACGGGAATGAGTTATCAGCTGTCTAATCGTAGACAACACAATGTCGAGCCTTAAACTGTAAGCCCGTATTGTATTGTTTCTTTTATTTGGCTGTCGAACATTATTTATGGTTTGAAATATGATTTTATGTAAAATAATTGATATGAAAAAGCCGTCTTATAAGTTATGACCCCATTTCACCACACGCAAGTGGCAGAAATGACAATGATCAGCTGACGCATTTTTCTTGGCCGAAGTCAGAGCGCGCGGCCCGACGCACCACGCGTATTTGGAAATTCCGACCTCGACGAGCATCAGAAGCCACCTAACAGGCGTGTTCGAAACCGCGGGAGATGATGATGAACGGGTTTATCGAAACTTGATTGGATGAGCATATCGGTAATAGCGATTTCAGTGTGTGCATTTATTGTTCATAGTGGTGTGAAATGTGGTTGGGGTACGACCGACAACCCGTCGGGGCGAATTTCGCACTGGGGTACTCAAAATTTGAAGAATTTAAGACGTTTCCATGAGTTTTGAAGGTATGGATAAGTTCTAAAAATCCGGTTCTCCTTATCTGGGCCATTAACTCCATACGGTCCAAGAAAGCTGGCACACTACCTTTAAGCTCTTTTGAATACCGCTGACCGCGTGGCCTGGGAACTTAGTGAGATGGGGTGGGGTGGGGGTGTTCAAACACCCCTCCCCTACGGCACGGCGCCGCTGGCGACGAGCACCTGCACCGGCACCGGTTAGCCGCTGAGGGGGCATGAAGTTGTCCCTCCCACCTTACGTTTTGTGTGCTATCTCCGAAACCTGATAATATATGAACATGAAACTTGCTAGAGCTTCAAAAGAATACCTAGGCAATATTTGATGAAAGTTTGGTGGTTGTAGCACTTAAGAGGACGTCACAGTGACGTAAAAAAGTTTTGTCCTTTTCCGATATAGAGCGTTTCTGATGTCACTGAGCATGAAACGCAACGTTAAGCACCTGCTGTCATCATTGATCGTACCCTTTAGCTCGTTCCTGACTAGTTTATGATCCTGCATATTCAGCCCTATACATCGGATATGTCGCGCGGAAACTAAGCAGCTCCAGACTGATTCGACTTCTGACGTCAACTCACTGTGACGTCCTTTCAAATGTTATCGACACCAAAGTTGGACAGAATTTTGGCTAGCTATTCAGAATGTCTGCGCAAAGTTCCACTTCTTTATTTCTACATATAGCGCCGGCCGCCGATATCGTCGGAGAAGGGGGGGGGGCGGCTACTAGTTGCCCCCTTCCCGCGGCTGGCCGATGCCCGATGGCGCGGAGCGGAGGCCCAGCGACCGCCGATGACGACTGCTACCTACCCAGTTAACATGCCGACGTCGGCCCGACGTCGGGCCGAGGCTCGGCCCGACGTCGGCCCAAAGTCGGTTCAACCTCGGCCCGACATCGGCTGAACGTCGGGTACGCCCGCATGTACCGACGTCCAGCCGAAGTCCAGCCGACGTCGAGCCGACGTCGGGCCGAGGTCGTTTGCCGAGGTTGACGAGATCGTTTGTCGTTGGACCGACGGGGCCGACGTCGGCATGTTTACTGGGACAACGCGCCAAAAATATCAACCGGCGGCGGGATTCGAACCCCCCAGTCACCGACGTTGGCATGTTTACTGGGACAACGCGCCAAAAGCATCAGCCGGCGACGGGTTTCGAGCCGCGCGAGTCATTTGTACGCGAGGCTAGCGCGCTAACCACTACACCACGCAGCCTGGCAGTCATGTGGCGAACCCGGTTTGTTTTGTTGGGTTATGCCCTTTCGGTCTGACAAGACCATTTCAGAGCCGGAAGAATGATAGGATGGAGACATTGGTCTTGGGGAGCACCCTGGGTCCAGTTCATATACCTAGAATCCCATTGCTGTTACGTGACACTTATTGGAAAGGGCGACCCCACAAATGGATTCATATAGCCACCCTTACACACCTGCACCAACGTTTCCAAAAGTGTCCCTTTGATATGTCGGGCACTTTGGCAAAATAACACTTGCCGACTGGCCTTTCTATATGAACTGGGACCGGCCCTGGTGAGTTGCCGGGGCTGAGCCTGACCAAAGGATAGGCCGAGCAGCCCTCAAGCACTCACCGCACCCGGCTACGGGCGAGCTCGGCTTGCGGGCAATCCCAAATGAAATGGGATTAACCCGCGACCTGGTGGGGGGGCTATTTTTTGCCCCCCCCCCCCTCCAGACTTTTCCATATATCTCCAGAACACCGCTGCGCCGATCGTCACCAAACTTTCAGTACCCTCCCGGACATCAATTTTACACATTGTGACCAAAAATTTTTCCAAAGGCTATGATAGGTTGGCCGGAAATGACGTCAGAGTGACGTCATGTTCTGCCGTTTTCGACCCAAAAAAGGGTTTCGCGGGAAGAGCTGTCAGGCCTATAGCTTTGCAAATACAGAAAAATGATAAAGACATAAAAGCTGTAGATTGGACAGGGCTACAAAACTGCTGTCTCGGATTTTTGAAATTTTTGGATTTTGACCCCCAAAAATAAAAAAATAGATTTTTTTGGAAATAATAATCGAAAAATCAAAAAAGTTTTTTGAATTTCGCAAAAACCGGAATATATGTGATAGTCCTTACCGTGTTCCATCCACATACCAAATTTGAGATTGATACCTCTTTTTTTGGCGAAGTTATGGCGAAAAAACTGTTCAAAATTTGTTGACGTCAAATTTTCAAACTCAATTTTTAGCAATTCTACACCCCGTAGTGCAAAACAAAGACCACCATTAGACTCCCCGTGACGAGCTGCATCGAATCAATACCCATTTTATGCAAAACTATCAACTTTAAAATTTGACCTTTTTTGGCCTGACCTTGGCCTGACCTTGACCTGACCTTGACCTGAACTTCACCAGAAAGTGACCTAAGCCGTACCTGATAGTCTTATAACCAACACCATTGAGTTGGAAATGAAAAATTGGCCATAAAACATGTATCACACAACCTTAGTAAAGTTGGGCTCATGTGACCTGACCTGTGACCTGACCTGGTATTGCCAGTGACCTCTAATAGCAACATATCTACTAGGCAACTGACGCCCTACCGCTGATTCTCGACAAACTGCGTTTTCCTCGGTGTTATAGCGCATTCCCTAGAAGACCCGTGAGCGGTGAAACATTTCATCTTTGACCTGACCTGTGACGTCATCGGTGACCTCGAGGTCAATGAAATTTGGTTTCCTTCGACAAATTTGACAGGCCTTTCGAACGCCGTTTGAATTTTGCGGATCCGTCCAGTAGTTTCGGAGATACGAGGGGGGGGGGCAAAAAATAGCCCCCCCCCCCCCCACCAGGTCGCGTTATAAACAGACCCCACCAGGGCGCGGGTTAAGTTTCCCGTCCAGTCCGGATCAGAGGGTTGCGGCGTGCAGGAAGATTTGACTTTCCTGAGAATATTTTGAATACAGAAGCTCTTTATGAAACATGAAACATGCATTTTATATTATTCTAACGGTCAAAACAGCGGCCGATGTCGGTCCGACGTCGCCCCGACGTCGGCTGGACCTCGGCTGGACGTCGGTACATGCGGGCGTACCCGACATCCAGCCGACGTCGAACCGAGGTCGGACCGACGTCGGCATGCCTTGGGCATGCCGATGCCGAGATGCCGACGTCACCCCGATGTTTGCCGACGTCGGGCCGATGTCTGCATCTTTACTGGGTAGGTACTGGTCCAGTACCCAGTAAACATGCCGACGTCACTATACACTACTGGTATGCCGTAGGTAGCAGCCCTTGCCTAATGCATTTGAAAGTCACGCCAATCCTGACCATGCAATAAAACATAACGGATAATACCTACATGTCAAATTTCAGGTCCTATGATGACATGCTTCCTTGGGGATCATGCTTCTTCATCCTTACCTTATTTCGTTTCCGTATTCCGTATATCCCTTGCCCTGTAAGTTATTTGAGAGGCCTGTAATAGTACCGCATATCTTCAAGATACGCCTCCTTTATCCTAAGAGGATATACCAGGGTATATTGAGTGAAGGATATACACCATTTATACCTCAATTAGGTCAAAATACCAGCAATTTGGGCCGGGTTGTGCTTCTGCTACCTGCGCTAGGCTGGCTCAGCTGGCTGGCTCAAGGCCGGCTAGAGGCATTTGTAAACAACATTGCAAAATAAGAAAAAATATAGGAGTATAATAAAAGTTGAAGCATTTATTATATTTTTTCCTACAATGCAATTTTCAAATCTTGATTATTATAATTAAATTTTAAAAGACAAAAATATATTTTAAAAAAATTCATTTGGCAATTATTTGTTCATTCGTCAGTTGAGAAAATAACTTTGTGGGCTTGTGTTACATATAATGCGCAGGTGATACAATTGCAGCTGTTGTAGCAATTTGCAGCAGGTTGTTGACTTTTTATTCCTATTCAAATTCCATAAACTGCGGTAGCATTTACGTGTAGGGATCAGTATGAGTTTTTCAAAAACAATTAAAATATTTGTTTCTTTCTCTATGTCTTTGATTTTTGTGATGGTTATGTTCAGTTCATCTGTTGAAGCATACTCGTATATAAAAGGTAGATATGGCATGTAGATACCTATGGTATGATTAATGGGATTTGTTATAAAATGTATCTATTGGTAATGGTATGATAAATGGGTACCTAGTTAGGTCAGAAAAAATATGGATGTTGGGTAGAGGCAGGAGAGGTGCCCTCAGGGCTTGTAGCAGTGCTCACAACACTGAATTACCCAAAAATAAACTATGAATTAAAAAGTAAATCGTTATAAAGCCTTAAAATACCAAAGCTACAGGAATTCAAAATAATATTTTTAAAATGTGCCTCAATTTGTGTTGTGATCTTTGTGGCCAAAAAGAGGTGCTATACCCAGAGATATTTCCTTCTGACCAAACCTAACCTAGCCTACAACCTATAACCTGCAACCGAAAACCGACAACCTATGACCTACATCTCTGTGTATATAGTGCCTCTCCTTGGTTGCAAAAAGAAGTGTGATGCCTTCTTTATAACTACAGTAAATATGATAGTGTCACAGCAATAATGCACATTCCATGCGAACCAGGCTGATAGATATGCGAGCTGTGACTGAGTTGTTTTGAACATAAGCTTCATGATGTATTGGCCACCAAACAGAAAAAGCCTACCAACCTTAAACCTACATACCACTGAGGCTTCATCTTCACATTGTATCAAACAGCCCTTGGGTTATTGCATTTTGAAAGTTTGTCCTGTTTTAAGGGTGTCTGGATTGCTTCAGCTGGATGTCATACCAAGGTCTATTCTTCTCTTTACAAACTGCTTAATAATTGTATAGGAAGCTCGGACCCAGACTGGAAAGCATCCACAGTCCACACTGATACACTTCTCCAGAATTCAGACTACATATTACAACAAGAAGTTTTATTTCAACTTTGCTGTCATTTCAGGAGAGACTCCAGTGGAGGCGCACTGTCCTGGGGAATACTGTGGGCGTATCCGCCTGGACAATGGCAACTGGAGCTCCTGCCAGTCCTGCCCGCGTGGATACAGGTACCTATTAACTTCTGCAGGCAACGGAATGGTATTGCTACCATCTGTAGTATGTACTGCCTTGCTACAATATCCTTATCTGTTGTTGGCTATGGGACAACAGATGCACTCATACTGCCACTGCAGGTGTTATGCTCTGTTACAGGCAGATATGTAGGTACTGCTGGATGCTGGCTGACTGATTCTTCTAATTGAGTCACTCCTTATATCAGGCCGGCTGTGTGTTGCCATCACTTATTACATATGTTCTCTGAATGTGTATGTTCTTAGATACCTATTACCTATGCTCAATATATCCTAACTTTTCTGCTGCTCTCAGTACTTGCTTGCTTTCTCCCAGCACTCATGCTATTTGCCTACGGTGCTGCTGCTGAATCAATGAGACACCGTGGCTGCCATAACCCACCACTGACCATGCTCTCCCCCTGCTCAGGGCGAACGAGAGCTCGTCGTGCGCGCTGTGCGACTCGGAGCCCACCTTCTACGATGGCATGTACCTGGGCTTCATGGGCCTGCTGTCGCTGCTCATGCACTGGGTGTGCATCGACCGGCACGCGCGCAGCGCCAGGTGAGCACCTCTGGGGGACTCGGGGGGGGGGGCTGCTCTGTCGTGTGCGACGGCTCTGCTCTGAGTCGCCTGTGATGAGATCAGTGGTTATCAGTTGTAGTAGTTGATGCAGAGGTGTTCATGAAATGTGGAAGGATGTGAAGCCGTAATCGCCACGTGATATGTGGAAGGCTTTTGATGTCAATACACATACATACATACAATGTACTGTTGCTGTGAGTTGTGCTGGCTTAGGTTCATTTAATTTTTGCCGTTTTCCCTGTCTATCGATGAAGCTTGCATATTTTGGTTATTGCTATTAATATTCTCAAATCTCAACCTGATGCGACTTTGTGATGCAAGTGTAGCGTAATGATATGATAATTTTAGCTAGTTGCCAGCTGTCTTGCTGCCTCCGTCTTCTGTAAGCGATACGATAACTCCGTACGGCGTGCCAAGACCCTCCGTGTACGTCTTTGCTTCTCTAGCCCCTGATCATCCCTCTCCTCCCTTCCTCTCCCTAGGTTCACCATTGGTATCGTGGTGCAGCACCTCTCGGCCCTAGCCTCCCCGACTGAACCCTCTCTCCCTTCCCCTCTTCTCCCCTCCCTCCCCAGGTTCACGGTCGGTATCGTGGTACAACACCTCTCAGCTTTACCTGACCCCTCTCCCCTCCCCAGGTTCACGGTGGGTATCGTGGTACAGCACCTGTCGGCTCTACCTGACCCCTCCCCAGGTTCATTGTCGGTATCGTGGTGCAGCACCTCTCGGCTCCTAGCCTCCCCGGGTGACCCCTTCTCCCCTCCCCTCCCCTACTGACCCCTCCGGTCCTCCCCTACTGACCCCTCTCCTCCCCTCCCCAGGTTTACAGTCGGTATCATGGTGCAGCACCTCTCAGCTCTGGCCGAGTCGGTACTGGCCGCCGCTGGTACCCTGCTACTGACCGAGCCCATCGGCTCTGTGCGGGTCACCTCGTGCCGCGTCAAATCGCTGGCTGACTGGTACACGGTGGCCTACAACCCGACTCCCAACTACGAGAGGACGCTCAGCTGCACCCAGGAGGCCGTCTACCCGCTGTGAGTACCACCAGAGCCCACTCCCAGTCTACCCGCTGTACCCCCGACCCCACTCTACCCGCTGTGAGTAACACCCGAGCCCCGTCTTCTCTTTGTGAGTACCTACCACCCGATGCCCAACTAGGGGACGGACAGTCAGCTGCACCCAGGAGGCCGTCTACCCGCTGTAAGTACCGGTAGCTCTGCAAACTTACCTTAGTTTACCCGCTGTAAGTGCTGAAGCTGTGCCAACCGAACCCTAGTCTACCCGCTGTGAGTGCTGGTAGCTGTTCATTTAGTGGAACTCAGCTCAGTATATTGAAGCATTGGAACCGGCTAATGTATTAGAAGTTAGATTAGATTATAAATGATAACGCACATCGCTAACTTACAGTGGAATGTTCTTTCAAAAGCTTATTATTCTTTTAAAGGACACCCTTTCTTAACTTCTTCAACCCAGAAAAAGTAATTTAGAATGTGGCTGAATTATTCCCGAAGCTCCTAACATTTCCAATAATCACACAGTATTTTCAGATGTAACGGAATAAATAGGACAAACTAAAAAGAAATTCATGACAAGTTTCTGGGTGCAGCTAATACCATTATACCGTTTTAGATTATGCTAGGCACCGCCAGTCTCAATAATAGCCTCCTTTACCTCGGTATGAAGCACACGACTCCCACTGTGCCAACCGCCCATGAAATCGGTCGGATTTTGTGCTGCGAACCGAGCACAGGCTGGTGCGCTTCTGTCCTCGGGCGGCCGGCCGTCTGCCCACATTGTTTGCCCTTGGTCTGTGTGACTATTATTACCCCTCACCGGTAAGGATATGGATCAAACGACTCGCGCGGCATTGCTGGGGTGGCATGGGAGAGGAAATCTGCTTACACAAATAAGTGAATTATTTTGCATGCCCGCACTGTTTCGTGCGTTTAAATAGTTGCTTCTATGTTTGTAGGGTATTTTATTAATTACCGTACTTTGTGTTTCAAAATTGAAATGAATGGCCTTCTTAGACAGAATTTATCATGCTGTTTGCCGACAATAAAGCCAGGGCGTTTGTTTACAACACAAAGTCAACCTACACTGACGACATATGCCATTCGTTTTGTCCTTTTTGATGGCTCACTGGTTTGGCCGCACACAGGCCCTGTTTTTGTCCAGTCAAAGTCATTAGTCAACAAAATATGGTTGTCTGTGTTTTTGATGTTCTTGCTTTGCGGGCCTGCGACTAAGATGCTATGAGCCGAGTGTGAACGACATCTCTCTGAGAGCAGATTCAAGGGCTGCGCTTTCCAGGCATGCGATTTCCTATTCTTGTGCAATGCCTGGATGTTATTTTATTATTTTTTCCGTCAACCAGTGGGTTTTCAATAAAGCCATTAAAGCATAAGTCGAACTTTTCCGAACTTTTTGATTATTTCTATCACCTTATAATCTTGCTGACTGAATCACGCTAAAATAGCCACCGTGCTGTCTGCATCGAAGGAATCTGCAAACATAGCAAATTTTCAGCATGCGCTCAGCAGCTTACATATATATTGGTTTGACGTTCTTTCTTTGCCCTTTCTCAGGTACAGCATGGTGTTTCTGTACTACACGCTGTCGCTGGTTGCCATGGTAACGATCCGGCCGTGGCTGGCGGCACGGTACCTGCCCGGCAGCGGATCGAGGGCCGTCTTCACGGCGCTCTACTTCTTCCCGTCACTGGTCCTCGTGCACGCCATTTTCGCCGGGATTCTTTGTGAGTATGGGGGGGGGGGGGGAGGACCGTCGGTTTGTGGTTAGAAGAGTGTTTGTTATTTAGCGTCTCAATTCTCGGCTGATGTTTTGTTTAGTCTGAGAATTAGTTGATGACCCTTCACGAATGTGCCACCCATAGAACTTTGCACTCTCCAAGGAAAGGTGCTAGGGACCCTTTCATAATAAGTAACATCTTCGCCACCGAATACGTTTTCTACAGCTCTCCTCATTCCCACACCGCGTGACCCCCCCCCCCTCTCCACTCCCTGCTCCACCCCCACAGATTAGATTTTCCCGTACCTGACCCCCCCCCCCCCCGCCCGCCGGTTTCAGACGAGATATTCCCGTACCTGGTGATGGTGGCGTCTGTGATCTCCGTGGCCGTGCACTACGCGTGCCAGCTGAACCAGCAGATGCGCGCCCTGGTGCTGCACTCTGTGACGGAGCTGCGCAGCGCCGTCATTGTCCTCGGACACTGGCTGCTGCATGCCTACGGCCTGGTGGCGGTTACACAGCTGAGTCGGCCGCTGCTTCACTCGCTGATGCTGCTCCTGGTGCCGTTCCCCACTGTGTTTTATATTATCACCGTGAGGTTTACTGACCCGGCGCGGATGGGGACGTCATAGGGGGACAGGGGATGTCAGGGATGGGGTGGGGTGGGGATGGTGATGTAAAGGGGACCCGGGACAGGGTGGGGTTTGTATGCAGGTGGTATGTAGTGTGGCCGAGGTATGGGTGGGCGTTGCATGAAACTCTAGCCGCGGAACGGTGGATCATCCATAAGCTCTGCTTCGGGGTCCGGGTTTTCCTTGGCGTTTTTCGATGCCCCTGTTACTGTGCTGTTATTACATATGCATTGGTCATTCAGTAACTTGTTAGCAGTCTGATTACAGTGCTTTTTTGTACGAACAGAAAGGCAATGTGTTGTGGTCGTGTTTATTAGATAGGGTAGGGTGGGGTAATTACGGAGCGAGCGAAGCGAGCGGAGTCTCATACTGAATTAAGGGAAAATCCTGAGTATGAGCGGCCGGCCGGCCGGCCGGCCGGCCGGCCGGCCGGCCGTGGGGACGCTCTTCAAAAGCTAATATCGTAGGAACGGGACATCCGATTGACAAGCGGTCTTCTTTACTGAATGTCACTTGGACGTAAAAGTTATGTGGTGTGATGGCCACCATGCGTTCTTGCCAACCACCGCACGTGGCGCGTGGTAAAGTTGGACATTTTTTTAGAACCCCCAAAATTGCAACCTCAATAACGGCACAACGGTTGGGCCGATTGAATTGAAACTCGGTACACAGTTAGGTCTCCATCAGATAATTCATCTGCATGTGTTAAGGTTGGGGTGCTACAGCACGTGCGCACGTGCAGGGGGCGCTCCCAGATCTCGAGAACGGCTGGGCCGATTGCGCTCAAATTTGGTACACAGTTGGGAACCAGTTAGTAGGGTGCCGTGCAAAAGTCAGTTTGGACCCCGCTTGCACGTGCGCACGTGCAGTGTGCCGCTTCCAGATCTCGAGAACGGCTAGGCCGATTGCGCTGAAATTTGGCACATCGCTAAAGACCGGTTAGTAGGGTGCAGTGCACAAGTTAGTTGGAGGTACCCCCTCGCAATTTCGCACGTGCAAGGCCCATCCTCTCGCTCGCTCCGTTGGTCGCCCAAAAGGCGTTATACTGGTTTGAACATGTGGGGCAATTTGAACATAGTGTGAAAACACAAATTTACGGAAAATCCATAAGTGACATGACAATAAGACCAATGAGGGAAAGTATCGTGACTAAAAGGGCTATCATATGAACGGGGTTTAAAGTTTCAGGGAATGAAGATTTTGACGCACACTGTAAAAAATCAATTTCGCAAGTAAAAACGCCTAAAAACACGTCATTGCAACTTCGTTGCAGAGCAAAATCTTGCATTGCTAGCGCCTAATATGCAACGGCTTTTGTTGTACAATGACCTAATCAGTGCCTTCAATCCAAGAAATTTACTTTTGAAACCTGTTTTTAAATATGGCAAAATAACTTTTAGCGTGGGGTAATTTTAACATCGTGTAAGAATTTCAGTGAAGACAGGGATAGTTCCAAAAAAACAACGCTCCCAGTTTTTTTTTTTTTGCCAATATTTTCGACCCAAAGCAGTAGCAGATTAGTGATGCCAGTTTTATAAAATTTACGTCTAATATCCGTCTAATGTCCGGCATTTTCGTCGATTTCCGCTCAAAAATGTTAAAGTCAGACATTTGTCCAAATATGTCCGAAAATTACGCATTAAGGTCGCCGTCCACTGCACTTTTGTCCGCCGAAAATAAGCGCTTACTGACAGAATTAACTACAAAGGCAATGGTAGGAGCAGAATCTACAGACGCCGAAACGGCCCAGCCGCCGACAACGCATTTCGGCATGTTTATCTTTTCATCGCTTACTTTACGCTCTTAATTTAGTGGCGGAGAAGTTGGATCGTGGGAGCTTTTTCTGCCGCTGTTGACGCCGACTGCGCAAGATTCAGTTCGCTTTGGCGGGCTATTGCTCGGCGACGGTGCGGGCTACGGGGGTGAAATTTTCGCACAAAGTCGGACGCATGCAACCATTTGTCGTATCAGCTTTTCGAAGGGATGCGTTCAGCGGTTTGCACGTGGCGGGCGCATCTTTGCGACATTTTGGGCCGCGGCCGGTGCCGAGCAGAGAGCACGTGCCTTAGGCCCAGATTTTTCACAGTGAAAACTGAGCGAAATCAGAGTCGGCAGGTCACGTAGTGAGGGCTCAGGAGACAGATGACGTCACGGTGTGTCAAGGTTTTAACGATTTTTAAGACATTGCTGTGCAGTAAATAACCTTTTTTACGCTCTAAGGGAGCCCAAAAGTTTAATATCAAACTGCCCAAGAGGATAAAATCCTCGAAGATTAATATTGGCGAAGATTGGTAGACACCCGCTGACGTCATCTTTCACCGATTTAAACAAACGGCTAACCCGTCTAACCATTCTCCTATAACTGAAGGTTTGTTGTCAATAGTTAAAACAGTTCCATAGCCTTGGTTAAAACACTTTTCGTTAGTACTATTTATAGTCACCGTGGTTAGTACGAACTAACTGGACGGGCAGGTGAGCCAGTGATTGTGTTTCTCCATTCTATTGTATACGGCCTCGGCCGGCGGGTCCTTTGAGCATCTCTGCGAATGTTTTTGTGCAGTGGACGGCGTCATTTCAGCAAACGCCGGAAATACGCGCTTATCGACGATTACACGCTTACTTTCGGCGGATGCCAATGTGCAGTGGACGGCGACCTTTAATCAACACTCAAAACTGTCATTTAAATTGCTTATAATGTTATTTTACCAGCCGAAAAGTGTTCATTATATTGAGAGCTTAACAAGCTTTCCATTCGCCAATCAATGCTATGCACGATTACTTTATAAAAAGCGCTGAAGTGTAGCAAGCCATGGTCCAATGTTGTCCAGTCTGCTACCTTTGTCCAACCAATTCCGAATTGGACATTGGACAAAATCAGAACTCCAAATATCCAGGTTTCGATTGGCACCACTATAACAGATGCAGTAAGGTTGGGATAGTTTTAATCGAACAAAAATGATAGAAGTTCTGTTAATTGAAGAGAGGCGAATTCTGTCAACTGACCGGTGTGCAGCGTGCAGATATTGATACTCTGCAACTGTTATTTTTGCTGTTGTGTTGATTTTTCAAGTGAAGGTATGTTTAGAATTGTTCTGCCTATTTGTTTATGGGTCAAACAACATCGGTGCTGGCGAGACTATCGTTTTTATGACAGGTAAAGGCAGTATGTTCAAATTACCCCACGGTGGGGCAATTTGAACACACCGTGACTTGGTGGAGAAGTGAGGCTATGCTTTTCAAGGTATGCTCGGCTCGTCCAAAAATGAGGCTTGCATGGTGAAAGCAAGTGACACTTGCGCTACTGAAGCAGTTTTTCTTCATCCAGGGTTGAGCTGGAATTTGGTACAACGAAGAAGACGTAAAAATATGTTCAAATTACCCCACACTACCCTATCCGATTTCCTATCAAGTCGCATTCATGTGCTACTAGCTGGCGCTGATATGGTTTGTAGGTGTCGCCACTGTGCCGCATTAAAGTCACGATCTCGTGCGGAGCGCAGCGGAGCACGACGGTTGTCGGGCGCCAGGTGTCGCTCTCACTTGGACATGCATCGGTGCAAGAGAAATGACGCCCTTCTGTCGTATGAAACTCGTAACAGCGTCCCGTTATCTGTGCTGCCAAGGATGGAATGTTGCGAAGCGCGATGTAAGGGAGGTGAGGACCCAAAGGTGGGGCTCGGTACCCAGCGATTTCTGATCGGAATCGTGTTTTTTATGTCACACAGGTGCGCGATCTAGGTGCAGCGCGAGTAAGTCTTTCATAGGAGGTAATATAATGGTCTGAACAGTGCTAGTAGCGTGTTAATTAGCGTACCGTTCTGTCAACGTTACCTGTTGTACCTTTTCCGGTTTGTCGGAATACACTACATCGGAGTAAATAATCAGCGTGTTTTACGGCTGCTCCTTGATGACACACAGTCACCAGCTGATGTTTTTGAGCTTCCGCTTCTTACCGAATCGGTGCGGAACGTATGTAATGTGGTGAAAGGCGGTCGACATGACCGTCACAGAGCATGCAGCGGATGTCTGGTGGACATACCAGACGTAAGACTCGGGGACTCGGCACCTGTTCGGTTGGGAGCACAAAGCATACCGGTGGAGTGCGGTACTGCAGTGACATCAGCCAGAGCAGGCCGACAGGCGAATTTATGCGGGCCAGACACCTGCTGCAGCTATATATGTCCTACTTCTGGTTGTTCGTTTAGTATGGTTTGCATGCATGAGCTTGTTTGTTTCGGGAAGGCATGATTTAAGCTTGTTTTAGCGAACTGCTGCTTGTCTCAACTCGAGCTGTTTCATAATTATTAATGTTGGACTGGTTATACTGTCAGCCAGCAAAGTGTGAGAGAACAGACAGCTAGAAACAGGGGCGCGGGAACTACTTTCCGACTGGGGGGGGGGGGGGGCACACCATAATAGAGATTAACCTAGGGTACCCCCAAATCTAGTTTTCTCACCGGTTTTAGGCCACTTATTTTTCACCCCTCGGCTTTTTCAATAAAAAAAAAGAAAACATTTGCAAAAAAAGTGTGGTATTCCGTCTCAAAGCTGTGGGGGCACCGCCCCCACGGCCCCAGAGTTGGGGGGGGGGCAAGCTGCCCCCACTGCCCCCCCGGCTCCCGCGCCTATGGCTAGAAATGCTAAACGCGCCGGAAAAATATGTGTGCCGGCCGCCGCGTTCGTGGTGCGCACTACTGATTATGACACACTGTATGCCACTCTTTTGCTGATGAAGCCGTCGAAATCAACCGGCAAGGATGGTATTAGCGTACTGATGCTTCAGTCTTTCTTCTCCGGGATGGGCCACGTACTGCTAAACGTAGTGAATTCCAGCCTGGCTACTGGTGTCGTGCCGCGTGATTGGAAGCACGCACTAGTGACCCCTATTCCGAAGGGGAAGACGTCTGTGAAACCGTCTGATACGCGTCCCATATCTATTCTACCAGCGATTATGAAGCTGGTGGAGCGTATTGTTCAGGGCCAGCTGTCAAGCTATCTAGAGGATAACCACTTGCTTTCCGATGCTCAACACGGTTATCGCAAACAGCGATCCACCGAAACTGCCCTGCATACTGTAACGGACATGGCTCTTCAAGCCATGGACAATGGACAAATCTGTATTTTGGTACTATTAGATCTATCAAAATGTTTTGATGTAGTCCCACACGCAAAACTACTGGAAAAGTTGTCGGTATACGGTGTCGATGTG